GAAAGGCACCTGGGCCCTGAGCAGGGGATGGCTGTCGGAAACCAGCCAAGCAGTGCTTGGGCTTCAGGCAGGTTTTGCGGTCCTTCCACAAAGGAAGCCGTTCTCAGTCCCTTCCAGGGGGCAGAACAGCTGGAAGTTCACGGTAACGGCGGCACACCTGGACCCCGTGGCGTCTCTGACGTCGTCATAAGAACCAGCAACCACCTGACCATGTGGAGCCAACACCCTCTGCAGGTGACAGAGACTTACAACCCAGAGCAAGCATGCCCAGGGACAAAATAAGCCGTCAAACCATGAGTGTTTCGAGTGTTCCTACAAATATTATTCTACCTTTCCTTCCTTCATTTTGTTATGTGTTCTTGTTCCTTAGCAAAAGGTGCCAAAATTTTTGGAAAAACATACAGAAGAAAAAACAAAAATGGGAAAAAAATTAAAACCTCCGCGAAAGCTGACTTTTCATCGTGAATTGGGGAAATGATCCTCTTTTCAGTGTCACCCCTGAAATTGTTCCTATCGGGAAACTGCTTTAAGGCATCCTCATTAAGAACCCACATCCCCACTTAGAAGGGAAACAAGAGGTGCTGAGGCAGAAGGAGGTAGTACTTGACTGGGCACATCAAACCCCACAGTAAGCAGAAGTGAGGCCAAAGCAGCAGGCAAGAGGACAAGGGTGAGTGGGCACTCGGGAGGACATTCCTTTCCTGGGACACTGGGATCCTGTCACTCCATCATGAGGATTCCCGATGATTCCCCCACCGCACCTCACTGACCTTCCAGTCCGCCCTTCTCAGGAGGACCTGAGCTTTCCTCCCTCTCCCCAGGGTGGTGCCCACTGCCGGTTACCTGATTCTCCACCAGCATGGCGATGTCCATAAACATGTCATGAAGCTCCTTGATGCTGCTCTCCAGCCTCACAATGTCCTTGTGCCGCCCCTCGATCTCACTGAGGGCTTGCTTGGAAATCTGAGAGTCAATGATCTGCAACAGGCCACACAAAGACCAAACATCAGCCAGCACCCCTGCCACAGCCCCGACTCACACTCCGGCCAAGGCCCCTGCCTCCCTGCCTCCATGTACCTGCAGCCCTTCCCTCACCAACCACACAGAGCTCCACGGCAGTCTCCCCTCTCCACGAGAGGGGCGTGCATCCCAGCTCCCAGACACTCACCCCAGAAGTGAAGATGGCGGGGTTCCCACTCTCCAGCATCTCCTCCAGCTCCTCATCTGTGGTCTTTTTGCCGGCTTTATAACAAAAGAAGTAGAGCATCAAATACAAGACCAAACAAAGCACACCAATTCAAAAGTTCCCTGAAAAGGGCGCCTGGGTGGCTCAGTCAGTTAAGCAGCAGCTATTGACCTGGGGCATGATCCCGGGGTCCTGGGATCCAGCCCCACATCAGGCTTCCTGTTCAGGGAGGAGTCTGCTTCTCCCTCTCCCAGCTTGTGCTCACTCGTGCTCTCTGGTGCTATCTCTGTCTCTCTCAATTAAATAAAATCTTTAAAAAAACAAGAAAGTTCCCTGAAAACCAGGAACACGGAAACGTGGCACCAGGTGCACCGGTGCCCTAAGGCCTCTCCTGAGTTTGGGCGCAAATGCGGGCAGAAGCCACAAGCAGGGGTGCTGCTGCTTCTCACTCTCCCAGTTCTCCCGACTTGGGACAGATAGCCC